TTTTCCTTTTTTTAGCATTCGGTCTGGATTTTCTCTTCAAGCAGACTCATGGTAAGTTTTTTGTGAGTAGGAGGGTGAATTTCTTTTTTTTGAAGTGGCACTAACCGTTCTTTCCTTTTTTTTAGGAATCGGGCTAGACTCTCTTTTCAAGCGGACTCTTGGTAGGTTTTTTATGGGTAATGGTTAATTTCTCTTTGAAACAGTATTAACTGTTTTTTATCCTTTTTTTTAAGATTCAGCCTGGACTTTCTCTTCAAGTGGGCTTGCATGAAGTTTTTTGAGTGGGCGGGGTAAATGTCTTTCTTTTAAAATAAATACTATCCATTCTTTTCTTTTTTTTTAGCATTCGGCCTGGACTTTCTCTTTGAGTAGACTCTTAGTGAGATTTTGGGATGGTGGATCTTTTTGAATGGCTAAAAACCATTCTTTTTTTCTCTTTTTTAGTAAGTGTGGAGTTTTCTTTACATTTAAGAAATGTATTACCAACTTACCGCTTTCTTCTTTTTTCTTTTTTTAGGAATGGATGTTTTTGTTTTTATTGGCTACTACAGTTTAGCATAATTGCTGTAATGTCATTAATTAAGCTTTAGAAGAATAGTTTATCTTTACATTTTTATTAGAATAAAATAAAAAAAGTATTCTGTGTAGATACTTTTATTAGTATGGAATAAAAAAAGTATTCCGTGTAGATACTTTTATTAGTATGGAATAAAAAAAGTATTCTGTGTAGATACTTTTATTAGTATGGAATAAAAAAAGTATTCCATGTAGATACTTAATAAAACAGATTTTCATTAAAATAAAATAAATTTTATTAGTGAAATTAAAATGAAATAAATAAAGATTTTGTGAAATATTAAGATTCAAAATTCGGAAACTAGATGGAAAATCGAAGCTTGGTGATTGAAGCTTGATAATGAGCATTTATGATCGGTGACATTTATTTAAACTTCCAAAAAAAAAGAAAATTTTTTATTTTTTGGTGTTTAGGATTTTGAATTTTTGTTTATTTCTTTATTTTAATACTTTTTTTTGTTTAATACCTTCTTTCATTATGAGTTCTCATTTTCTATTTGATAGTATTTTCATTAATACGCACTCAGAGTTGCATACTATACGTGATCAAATGGAAGAACTCCAAACCAATTATCAGTCAAATGAAACAAGTGAAATAACAATACCTGATGAAGAATCCGAACTAATTTTTGTTTTGATTGATGAAACTAATTTAGATGAACCTATCTTAGACGAACCTATCTTAGATGAACCTGCTTTGAGTAATGAGCAAATAGATAAATTTAAAAATATCTATTCAAAAAGTAAAACAGATGACATTAATGAAGATGATGATAATTCAATTTCAATTCAAAAAATAAAAAAAAAATTAAATCAAAAAGATAATGAAGCTCAATTAAAAAAATTACAAACAGAAATATGTTGCAAAAAAACTTGCCTTCAGAAATTTGATTATAAACATGCTTTATCATTTTACCAAAAATTTCAAAATCTAAATAATAATCAAAAGGACATGTTACTTTTAGGAGTATTAGTTGCAACTGTACGAAATGAAATTACCACAAAAAATCAAAAAAGACAACGACTTGCTAGTAATTATATATTTGAAGGGATTGAAATTTGTTATAAAGCCTTTTTAATAATTTATGGAATTGGTGAAAGATATTGGGATAATGTTCGAGCCCATTTTGCAGAAAATGGAATCAGTCCAAGAATACACAAATTAGTTGGAAAAATTAGTAATTTTGCAGTTTCATTTGAAACAATTTTAGAAATACTAACTTTTATAGTAAACTATGCAAATATTCATGGCTTACCTTCTCCTGGTATTTATAATCAATTTTTTTTTAATATTTTATTACAATACATACTAAAACATATTTTATAAAATTTTGTAATATATTATAAATTAACATAAATTATATATTAATAATTAACAAAGGACGACACTTTCGTAAAGATACTTTATCAATTGTTTTTCTTCCTGCAAGTGAGAGTTATTCATCATTATATCGATTATATATATCAACTATAGAAGATCAAAATCAAAATCAAAATCAAAATCAAAAAGCAGTACATTTGACAACATTTTGGCGTATATGGAATAAATATATTCCAGAGATTAAATTTCTTTCAATGCGAAGTGATTTATGTTTCAAATGTAAAGAAATGAGATTTTATTCTCAATATTGGACAGATAATGAAAGTGAAACACGTGTATTAGAATGGAATAATCATTTTCAATGGGCACAAAAAGAAAGAGATTACTACAGGTATTTGTTTAAAGAAAAATTGTAAAATATTTAATATTTAATAAAATTTCTAATTTTAATAATTAATAATGATAGGAGTTGTATACAAACATCAAAGTTATTTTTAAAGCAAGATTCTAATTTTCCCAATTTTTTTCGACCGAATGAACCTAATTCCCGTGATCTTGAAAATCATATCTCATGGGACTATGCCGAACAAATTAAACTTCCATATTCATCACAGCAAGAAGTATGTTTTTTCAATTGATTTATAGTTTAATTACTATTATTTTAATATATACTAAAATAATTGTTTTTTTATAAAGGGAAGTACATATTTCAAATCTCTTTATAATATTCAAGTATTTGGGATTTGTGAAGATGCCCTTCCAATTCAAGTAAATATTTGTAATTTACTACAATTTTTAATATTATTTATAATATTTTACCATATTAATTAATTCAAATTAATTCATCTATTTATTTATTTTTTTTTTATTTTAGCATAATTATTTAATAAAAGAAGAAGAATCTATTGGAAAAGGAGCTAATGCTGTTATATCTCTTGTTCATAATTATTTTACCCTTTATGGATTAGGTGAAACTAACCTAATAATTCATGCTGATAATTGTACCGGTCAGAATAAAAATAATGCCATGATTATGTATTTAGCATGGCGAGTTGCCTGTGGGTTGCATACAAAAATCACTTATTCATTCATGGTAGCTGGTCACACAAAATTCAGTCCGGATGGATTTTTTGGCCTTCTCAAACTAAAATTACGAAAATCAGAAGTTGATAATCTTGATGATTTGGTAGACATAGTAAATAATTCAACATTAGGAGGGTATAATCAGGCAAAAACAATTTTTGATAAAAATAACAATCGTATAGTACATTTTTATAATTGGACCGAATATTTATCAAGGCACTTCAAACCAATTCCTAATATTTTAAAATATCACCATTTTATTTTTCATAAGGATAATGTAGGTAAAGTAGAAATTAAAAAGACAGTGGACGGAGATAAACAAATTGTAAATATTATGAAATCACAAAATAATGGTATTACAGGATTTCCACAAGAAATTTTTCCTGCAAAATTATCAGCCGAAAGACAATGGTATTTATATGAGCAAGTACGTCAACATGTTGGAGATCCTAAAAAAAAAGACGAATATTGTGCATTACCAAATATTCCAAAACCAAGGTCTAATAAGTAGATAAATAATTTTTTATTTTTAAGAATAAAAAAAAAAATAAAATAAAAATTAATTTTGAAAAAAAAATTTCTACTTAACCTTAATTAATGAAATTAAAAATGTTTTGCTAATTTCACGAAATGATAAAACTGATACAAAATTATAAAATAAAAATTAAAAAAAAAAATGATTAGTACCGTTTCAAAAAAAAAGAAATTAACCCTTCTAGCAAAAAACTTACCATAAGTCCAGGCCAAATGCTAAAAAAAGGAAAAAAAGAATGGTTAATACAGTTTTAAAGAAAAAAATTAATCCAAAAAAAATTTACCATAAGCTCACTTGAAGAAAAAAGTCTGGGTCGAATTCCAAAAGAAAGAGGAAAAATACGATTAATATCATTCTATAAAAGAAATTAACTCTCACTCTAAAACTTACCAAGAAGTCTGCTTAAAGAGAAAATCCAAGCTGATTCCTAAAAAAAGGAAAAAAAAAACGGTTAGTACCATTCAAAAGAAAGAAACTGTTTTAAAGTATCTAGAAGAGTTTGGTCAAAGTTTCGAACCTAGCTGTGAATTAAAAAAAGATCGTTGTTTTATAGAACGATTATCACTGCAGTCCCTTCCACTCGTAAAAACTTATCATGAGTTTGCTTGAAGAGAGGGTTCAGACCGAATGTTAAAAAAAAAGAAAAAAAATACAAAAAAATTAACCAACCCACCCATAAAAACTTACCGTAAGGAAAAAAAAAAATAGTATAATGATAGTTAATTTGACTGGGTAGGGAGTTACCGAATTGCGTACGGTTATAATTATGTGATTGGATATTGAAAAAATAAAGTTTCCGACCTTTCTACTGCAAAGAAATTTGTGTTACGAATATGCCATTTTTAGATTTGTATCGACTCCTTACTATTTTTAGATGTAAATCATTTTTGTGTAACATTCGCTTAAATCTGATTTATCTCGATTTTTTACTATGCAAATCAATTTCCATTTATAATTGAAAAATGTAGCCCATATCAAGATTTACCCAAATATA